TAACAGATGTTTCAGAGTTTTGAGATTTTTTAAAATTGCAAACCCTTTTATTTCTGTTTAATAGCAAGCAGTCTATTATAGTAAACAGGGGGGAGGGACCCCTTTAAAAGTGCAAAGTTACTACTGACGAAGGGTGCTAATGTTATTCTTATTGTCGGAAGGGGAACCATTAAGCAAACTGGCACTCAGCAAAAACCCCTGCCAGTCTGCTGCCAATCATCCAGACACCGGCCATTAATCATATAACACCGGTCCTGAATGACCTACATTGGCTCCCAGGACGTTTCCGAGCACAATTCAAAGTGTTGGTGCTGACCTTTAAAGCCCTAAACAGCCCAGTATACCTGAAGGAGCGTCTCCACCTCCATCGTTCAGCCCGGACACTGAGGTCCAGTTCTGAGGGCCTTCTGGCGGTTCCCTCCCTGTGAGAAGTGAGGTTACAGGGAACCAGGCAGAGGGCCTTCTCGGTGGTGGCGCCCGCCCTGTGGAATGCTCTCCCACCAGATGTCAAGGAAATAAACAACTATCCGACTTTTAGAAGACACCTGAAGGCAGTCCTGTTTAGGGAAGCTTTTAATGTGTGACATTTTAATGTATTTTTAATCTTTGTTGGAAGCCGCCCTGAGTGGCTGGGGAAACCCAGCCAGATGGGCGGGGTACTAATAATCAATTATTATTATTATATTACAACTAATCCAGAATGCGGCAGCTAAACTGGTGACTGGGAGCGGACGCTGAAACCATATAACACCAGTCTTGAAAGACATCCATTGGCTCCCAGTACATTTCCGAGCACAATTCAAAGTGTTGGTGCTAACCTTGAATGCCCTAAATGGCCCAGTATCCCTGAAGGAGCATCTCCACCCTCATTGTCCATCCTGGACACAGAGGTCCAGCTCCGAGGGCCTTCTGGCAGTTCCCTCCCTGTGAGAAGTGAGGTTACAGGGAACCAGGCAGAGGGCCTTCTTGGTGGTGGTGCCCTCCCATCAGATGTCAAGGAAATAAACAACTATCTGACTTTTAGAAGACATCTGAAGGGAGCCCTGTTTAGGGAAGTTTTTAATCTTTGCTCTTTTATCGTGTTTTTAATGTTCTGTTGGGAGCCGCCCAGAGTGGCTTGGGAAACCCGGCCAGATGGGCGGGTTGCAAATAATAAATTATTATTAATATTATTATTACTGCTCAACAGCCCCTGATCCAGAGGTGCTGAGCAGGGACTGCCAGCCATTAAGGTAAAGGTAAAGGGACCCCTGACCATTAGGTCCAGTCGTGGCCGACTCTGGGGTTGTGGTGCTCATCTCGCTTTATTGGACGAGGGAGCCGGCGTACAGCTTCCGGGTCATGTGGCCAGCAGGACTAAGCCGCTTCTGGCGAACCAGAGCAGCGCACGGAAACGCCGTTTACCTTCCTGCCGGAGTGGTACCTATTTATCTACTTGCACTTTGACGTGCTTTCGAACTGCTAGGTTGGCAGGAGCTGGGACCGAGCAACGGGAGCTCACCCCGTCCATCGCAGGGATTCGAACCGCTGACCTTCTGATCAGCAAATCTTTGCACAAATCCTCTCATTCTCCATCTATGTAGAACAAGGACTGCCGACATCCCCCGGAAGTCTGCCGAAGAGATTCCCTGGGAGTGAAACACAGCCGTTTCCCTATTGCTCCCTCCCAAGGAGTTTCTTATTTCCATCTGTGGCCCGTTTCGCTGGATAGATTTATTGCCATTTTTTAAAGGAGGAAGCACAGATGCTCGTGGGTGCATGTGAAAGGACCATATTGCATTCAGAGAAAGGAAGGGAAATACTTTACAGCTTGAGTTTTGCTTTTTTAAAAAAGAGGAACAGAGGGAGGATGGGAATAGAGACTCCAAGCCTCGCTCTCTTGAAGATGATAACTCATTTCCGCTGGAGAATTCATTTCACCACCCACAGAGCAGCCAGTCACCAGCAGCCAAGGAGGCCCTGAATACCGTATTTTTTGCTCTATAAGACTCACTTTTCCCCTCCTAAAAAGTAAGGGGGATTGTGTGTGCGTCTTATGGAGCCAACGCAGGCTGCGCAGCTATCCCAGAAGCCAGAACAGCAAGAGGGATTGCTGATTTCACTGCGCAGCGATCCCTCTTGCTGTTCTGGCTTCTGAGATTCAGAATATTTTTTTTCTTGTTTTCCTCCTCCAAAAACTAGGTGCGTCTTGTGGTCTGGTGCGTCTTATAGAGCGAAAAATACAGTATATTGGCAGATTTTCAAACCCTGCCATGCCTTCTGCTTATAGGAAGAAGATATAGATATAGATCTATATATAAAAGATATAGATGGGTTGCCTTCAACCAAGTCCTACTCAGAGGAGACCCATTGAGATAAAGGGACCAGAGATTCTCAGAAGACTGGAATAAACATGCCAGCTATTTGAAAAGCAACTGTAATCAACAGATTACGCTAGCAGGACTGCAAGAAGTTTTGCAAGGAGGAATATATGAAATATTGTAATAGCTATGATGAGAGAGTCAACAGATAAGATAATGAAAAGCAATAGTGAAATTAAGAAATGTAAATTAAGTGAAAAAATTGGAAAATTTTCAGATGGGGTTGATGGAAGTCCAGAAAAACTGGATAAGGTGTGACCTGTGTTGAATGACTGTTGAAAAATGATATATTAAAAAACTAATTAATATATATAGAGAGAGAGAGATGAATGCCTGCGAGTCACATTTATTTCAATGCTCCAAGGAGGACAAATATTTGGTACAATGCGGTATCTTGGAGGAGACTGGCGGGGACTATTATTATTATTATTATTATTATTATTATTATTATAATTTGCATACTGCCCGATAGCCATAGATCTCAAGGCAGTTGACAACATAAAATTGCAATATGAAAAATGCAAAATAGATGACGAAAACAACAAGAAGAAAAGCAATAATCCCTTCTTCCACAACAGATTTTAAAGGGCATAAGACGTCAATCACCCCAAGGCCCGGTTGAAGAGGAACCTTTTTGCCTGGCACCTAAAGGCGTACAGCGGTACCTTGGTTCTCAAACGCCTTGGTACTCAAACAACTTGGAACCCAAACACTGCGAACCCGGAAGTAAGTGTTCCGGTTTGCGAACTTTTTCCGGAAGCCAAACGTGCTCCGTTTTGAGTGTTACGGTTCCGATTTGAGTGTTACGCTGCGGTCTGTCTGTTTTTGCTATTTATTTTGTGGCTCTTTTTTGTGACTGCATGGAACCCAGTTCAGCTACTGATTGATTGATTGTGTGACAGCAGTACATTGCTTATTGCTTTCATTTTATGGATCCATGGTCTCGTTCGATAGTAAAATCCATGTTACATTGCCGTTTTAGGGGTTGTTTTTAAAAGTCTGGAACGGATTAATCCGTTTCGAATTACTTCCTATGGGAAAGCGCGCCTTGGTTTTGGAACGCTTTGGTTTTGGAACGGACCTCCGAAACAGATTAAGTTTGAGAACCAAAGTACCACTGTATATGTTCTGTGAAATGCATTTGTTTTAAACCATTGGTTACGCTGGCTGTTTCGGGGGGGCTGACAAGAATTGGGGGTCTCTGAGGGGGCACACACAGAGAGCCTCCAAATTCCCCCCCACACACACACAAACACCCCATGCAATTGCGTTTCCACTGATCACCACTGTCAGGTAGACTGGCTCTGAATGTGGATGCTCTGTTTTAACTTTTGCAGTTAAGTAAGTAAAGTAAAATAAGCCACATGGAAGGAACACTAAGAAGCTAAGTTGAGCCCAACAGGAGCAGATCACCAGACCATCAAGACCAGTATCCCGACTCCCAACACCAGTAGGAAGCAGCCAGTGATATACCGCCTTCAGCGATGAATTTTTTTGCGACGCTCCAAAGGGCCAGGAAACCCGCAAATGCCGCCAACACACACGCAAGGAGACAAACAGGGGGGGAAAGGTTGTCGCTAGAACTGCCCTCCCTGAATTTGCCCGAAACCTTGTGGCAGTGAGTTCCGTAAGCTGCTAACGACAGGCTTGCAACAGAAGGCACTAGAGCAGATAGTTTGGGTGGGGGGCAGAATAGCAGACAGGCAAAAACACGCAAATCCTTCTCCACGGATTGGGGACTTCCAGAGAACCGGCCCGCCATTTCCCCAAATGTTGCACCCGGCATTTAATACGTCCCCCCCCCCCCCGCAAAAAAATAAAGCCTTTCAGCAGGCATGCAAAGACAGGAAAACCAGGTTTTCACAGGAGGCGGAGGGTTCGACTGCTGGCAAAGTGTGGGGCCCCGCCGCAAATCCCCTCTTTCCAACGACACCACTTTTTCCTAACTGCCCCCCCCCCCGCAAATCCCCTTCCTTCTGGGGTTCTCCGTGGAGCGAATTTGCATAAGGCTCTGCGCATGTGGTCTTTTATCGTATAGATACCTATAATTGATATTAACTGTTGGAGATATATATGTATTTATGCATGTATATATCTTACACATATTGGGTTAAAGTTGCGCGGTAAGTCTAGATATGGCTTTCGGTGGTGCAGTCACAGCAGGGCGAGGTGGGATGGAGAGGAGATGGGGTCACCGGGAGCCAAACTTTGGTCAGGAGCAATGGGTGACGGGTGGGGGGGGCAGCTGGCTCTCTTAATCTCTCTCTCTCTCAACACACACTCAAATACCAACACCCCCTTTTCCAGGGAGAGGAACAAGGCTCCCCCCTAAACTTTGCCCAGCTTCTGTACGAGCCATGGGGGTTCCTGCCCCGCTTTCCCCGCAAGCAGGCTTCGTAAGCTGCCCGGCGGGCACCGGGCGTTGCGGCGGGCACCGGGCGACGACCCTCGCCCCCCCAAAAGATCTGGCCTGCCCCCTTTCCCCTTGCCACCAGTTTTGTGCAGCAAAAGGAGCGGTCCGCAAGAGAGAAAAGCCGCCGCCGCGATGGGCATTAAAGTGCCGCCCTGCCGCCAGCCGGGTTGGGGGTGCCGCCCTCACCCCGCGGCCGCCGCGGTGCCACCAGCCGCTTGGGTCAAAGGTCACAAGTTGGAAGGAAGCCTGGATTTTGCTGGGTCCGTGTCGGGCGTGCTAATGGCAGAGTCCTTGCGGGTGCCGCCCGAGTCCGCTGGCGGCGGCGGCGGCGTAGGGGAGCCCACGGGCACCGGGTGGGGCAGGCCCCCGCGGGGCGGAGGCGCAGCCCCCCGGGGCGTACCTCCAGGGCTCTGGGCAGAGGGGGCCGGCGAGGGGGAAGAGGAGGCCGGGGACGCCCCTTGGCCTTGCCCCGCCGCAATGGAGGAAGAGGACTCGCCGGCGGACGGCGGCGGGCTTTGGCCCATGGTCTGAGAGACGCCGTGTGGCAGCGACGGCTGCGAGGCCGAGAGCGGGCGCGTCTCCTGGCTCAGGCTGCTGGTGGGGAGCGCCTGCGTGCTTTTGTGCGCCGCTAGCCGCTGCGGCGAGCCGGGCGCCTTCTGCTGAGTCAGCGAGAGCTGGGAGCCCGACTGGCCTTTGGCGCCGCCATAGGGGAACGTCCGGCTGGCCAGGGGGCTTTGGACGGGCGGCCTGGGCGCCACGGCGGGGAAGGGGGCGGGAGGCTGCTGCTGCGGCGGACGCTGTGGCGGCTGCGGCGCGCCGTGTTGTTGTTGCTGCTGCTGTTGCTGCTGTTGTTGTTGCTGCTGCAGGTTGAGCTGCTGGTGTTGCTGCAGCAGGGCCGGCGAGATGGCGAAGGGCCCCGGGACGGCGCCTTGGTACTGCAGCCGGCGCACCATGCGCGGGGAGCCCAGTCCCAAGGGCCCCACCAACGGGCTGGCCATCTGCGGGCAGAAACTCATGGCCACGGCCTGCTGGAGCGTGGCGATGGCCGACGTCACCTGGGGCTGGGGCGCTGGGGCAAACATGGCCGCGTGATGATGGAGTTCTGCCTGTTGCACCATCTCACGGTCGTAGCGGACGATCTCTTGTATGATCTCGTTCTCCTGGTTGTTGAAGACGCCCGAGTTGAGGTCGTGCTGGACTTTGTGCAGCAGGATGGAGTTCTTCTTGCCTGGCGGGGAGAGGGGGCAAAGGAGAGAGGGTCAACATTATAGCATAATAAAAATAATAATAATAATAATAATAATAATAATAATAATATTATTAACAACAACAACAACAAAACAACAACACAACAACAATAATAATAATAATACAAAATACAAAATACAAAAAGATAAATGAAAAAAGAAAAACAGTTAAAAACAATTCCGTCTTTTCATAACTTTTTTTAGATTTACTTGTTTCCCAGACTTCCTCATACCTCCCTCTTTTGTATTCCAATTCAGTTTGTTAGTCCAGCAATTTCTTTCCCTCCTTTTTAATCCCAATCCTTAATCTTAATATATTGTAACATTAAGTTTTTACCTATTAAAAACCAATTTTTCCATTCTTTTAACCTTTTTAATCCTAATCCTTAATCTTGATATATTTATAACTTTGAAGCCTGTACAGCTAGAAGCCAGTTAACTTCAATCCAACATCACTCTAACATTCATTAATTTTGCAATATTTCTGTAAATAATCTTTAAATTTCTTCCAATCTTCTTCCACCAACTCTTCTTTATTTTCAGATTTTTCTTTTTTATCAATGTGATTTTATTCTTTGTGAAACTTCAATAAATATTAATTTAAAAAACAACAACAACAACAATAATAATAATAATAATAATAATAAAAAATTTTTATTTATATCCCGCTCTCCCCAGCCGAAGCCAGGCTCAGGGCAGCTAACAACAATAAAATAATACAACATTCTAAAATCATTTCATTATAAAATTAATTCAAATCAAATTGATGGCAACCATTGGGCTAGAGTTCTGTGAAGATCGCCAAAGGAGGGAGTCAGGCTGTGCCCTGGCCAAAGGCCTGGTGGAACAGCTCTGTCTTGCAGGCCCTGCGGAAAGATGTCAAGTCCCGCAGCGCCCTAGTCTCTTGTGACAGAGCGTTCCACCAGATCGGGGCCACAGCCAAAAAGGCCCTGGCTCTGGTTGAGGCCAGCCTAACCTCTCTGTGGCCTGGGACCGCCAAGATGTTTTTGTTTGAAGATCGTAGGTCCCTCTGTGGGACATACCAGGAGAGGCGGTCCCGTAGGTACAAGGGTTCTAGGCCGTATAGGGCTTTGAAGGTTAAAACCAGCACCTTAAACCTGATCCTGTACTCCACCGGGAGCCAGTGCAGCTGGTATAAAGGTAAAGGTAAAGGTACCCCTGCTCGTACGGGCCAGTCGTGTCCGACTCTAGGGTTGTGCGCCCATCTCACTTAAGAGGCCGGGGGCCAGCGCTGTCCGGAGACACTTCCGGGTCACGTGGCCAGCTGGTATAGCACCGGGTGAATGTGATCTCGCAGCGAGGACCCTGTAAGGAGTCTCGCCGCGGCATTCTGCACCCGCTAAAGTTTCTGGGTCAGTCTCAAGGGCAGCCCTGCGTAGAGCGAGTTACAATAATCCAGTCTGGAGGTGACCGTCGCGTGGATCACAGTGGCTAGGTCAGGGTGAGAGAGGTAAGGAGCCAACTGCTTAGCTTGGCGGAGATTAAAAAATGCCACCTTTGTTATAGCTACAATCTGCGCCTCCATGGAAAGGGAGGTGTCAAAGATTATACCCAAACTCTTAATGGACGGCGCTGGCACTAATTGCGCCCCCGCAAGAGATGGGAGTTGCCCCTCCAATCCCATATCATCCCGACCCAGCCAAAGGACCTCTGTCTTCGAAGGATTTAACTTCGAAGTCAATTATCATTGATGTTGAAGTGCTTGCAGTCCAGTGTTTCCCAGTTGCCGGTGTTTATACTACATTTTTTAAGATTTGCCTTGAGACAGTCTTTAAACCTCTTTTGTTGACCACCAGCGTTACGCTTCCCATTTTAAAGTTCAGAATAGAGGAGTTGCTTTGGAAGTCGATAATCAGGCATCCGAAAACCATGACCAGTCCAACAAAGTTGTTGTTGGAGAATCATTGCTTCTTCCAGTACACTGGCATTAGTTCACCTGTCTTCCCAAGGGTTGTGTACAATTTCTCGGAGACGCCGTTGATGGGATCTTTTGATTGGACAAAGTGTAGGATCATGGCAATGAAAATAATGAATAGAGTTGGGGCGATAACACAAAATAATACTGATTTTTTTATTTGTACCCCATCCATCTGGCCAGGCCTCCCCAGCCACTCTGGGCGGCTCCCAACAGAATATTAAAAACACGATAAAACATCAAACATTAAAAACTTCCCTAAACAGGGCTGCCTTCAGGTGTCTTCTAAATGTCAGATAGTGGTTTATTTCCTTGACATCTGGTGGGATGGCGTTCCACAGGGCAGGAGCCACCACCGAGAAGGCCCTCTGCCTGGTTCCCTGTCACCTCGCTTCTCGCAAATCCTACTTCTTCATCTTTTAAATATCCTGTTTAACACCTGATCCCACTGTGAATGGTTCACTTTAAGAGCCATTGTCTCTCATTGGTCATGTCGTTCGGATCCCTGATTTTCGTCTTCCAAAGCAGCTCCTGTATTCCGAACTTAAAAATGGAAAGCATCATGCTGACGGTCAAGGTTTAAAGGCCCTCTCAAGGCAAATCTTTAAAAATGTAGTATAAACACCGACAACTGGGAAACACTGGCCTGCGAGCGCTCCAGTTAGAGAACAGCCTTTACCAAAGATGTCATGGGCTTTGAAGACACTCGAACTCAAGACGCAAGGGAGAAACGTGCTAAGAGGAAGGCACGCTTGGCAAATCCACACCGGGATCAACTCCCACCTGGAAACCAATGTCCCCACTGTGGAAGGACGTGGGGATCCAGAATTGGCCTCCACAGTCACTTACGGACTCACTGTTAAAACCGTGTTTATGGAAGACAAACTCGGCTACCAGTGATCGCCAAAGAAGATGAAGATGATCATCATCATCATCACTCTCAGTGGTGCAAAAAGTGGTACTGCCGGAAACCGCAAGCGGGGAGAGTCTTGTGTTCGAATCCCGTGGAGACTTTTTCTGATCTGGTTGGTCAGGCTGCCGGACAAGGGTGGCGGGCCACTGGCCTGACCCACCAAAGCTCTTCCAATAATCTCAAGGTTGTGGGTTCGAGCCCCAGGTTGGGTGAAAGATTCCTGCACTGCAGGGGGCTGGACTAGATGCCTCACGGGGTCCCTTCCGACTCTACAATTCTGATTCTGATCAAGGGCAAGATGCTAGAATAGAGGGGCCCTTTGGAAAAAACTCTGGATGTACATTTCCAAAATATAAGATAAAAAACAAATAAAATAAAACCTACATCCAGCAACAGTGTTTTGTGTTGTGTACATTGCTGTCAACGTTTCCCTTTTTTTAAGGGAAATTCCCTTATTCCGAATAGGATTCCTCGCAAGAAAAGGGAAAAGTTAACAGCTATGGTTGTGCAGGCTCCTAGGATGTACCGTATTTTTCGCTCTATAAGACGCACCAGACCACAAGACGCACCTAGTTTTTGGAGGAGGAAAACAAGAAAAAATATTCTGAATCTCAGAAGCCAGAACAGCAAGAGGGATCGCTGCGCAGTGAAAGCAGCAATCCCTCTTGCTGTTCTGGCTTCTGGGATAGCTGTGCAGCCTGCATTCGCTCCATAAGACGCACACACATTTCCCCTTACTTTTTAGGAGGGAAAAAGTGAGTCTTATAGAGCAAAAAATACGGTAAGTCATGGGTCCCGCCTGCTCCCTAAAATATCACTGGTTTGCTCCTTTCTATATACAGGATGCCTACATTCTGCTATTTATAATTATTAGTAGTCTGCCAAGGCTCTACTATCCCTTCTGAAGTCGAGGAATGGGGCAGAATTTCCCCCATGGGGTGGGGGACCCCACAAAATACCTATGCGGTCCAGGCGGTCGATGGCGACTGTTTCGAAAGCTCGTCTCATCATGGGATATTCCTCCAAGACTTCGTTGAAGTTGTCCACCGAGAGGGAGTAGAGGCGGCAGTACGTGTCTGCTCTGACGCTGGCGGTACGCCGGCCTCTGGTCAGCAAGCAGATTTCTGCAAGGCAAGATAGGGGAAAAGCTTTTTTTTTCCAGCACACAAACACACACAGGCAACACGGATTTCGGTCGCAACCCCCGCCAAGGGAATAAAACCCCACCACACCGTACATAGCTGTCAACTTACAGATTTGAAAATAAGGGACCAGCAGCCTCGGAAATAAGGGATCAGCAGCCAAAATAAGGGATTTTCCAAGCACAGGTATGTTCAACTTCTGAGCCCCTCCGAGCCAAAGGCAGAAAGCCCAGCCAGCAGCCAAACGAAGCCTCAAGCGGTGGTTCCCACAGCGCAGCAACCCGGCAAGGGGATGCAGCAAGGAAAACCACCGTCACCTCTCCGCTGGGAAGCGCTGAGCAAAGGCGAGTCCCCAGGCAACGCGGCCGATTTGATCGGCACAAGGCATGCAAGCTCCACCCCCCAGTCGTTCTTAGGCTCCTTATTGGGTGAGCAACACAGCCAAGCAACACAGTTGGAGCCTCCCTCCTCCCTGGCCAGCAGGGAGGGAGGGAGAGGAGCTGCTTCCTTTGAAACCCGGGAAATTTAAGGGACATCATCAATAAGGGACAGCAGCGGGATGCGGCACTGGGATAAAGGACTTTCCCGCCAAATAAGAGACGGTTGACAGCTATGACACCGTATCACCTCAAAAAACTTACTGTAAAATTGGAAAAGGTCCAGGAATCGCAGAATGGCAGATTAAGTCGATGGATTTACGCCGAAATGGCAAAAAGGACCGGAAGAATCAGTAATCGGGAAAACCAAAATTATCTGACTTTTAGAAGGCATACAAAGGCAGCCCTGTTTAGGGAAGTTTTTAATGTTTGATGTTTTATTGTGTTTTGGATAATATGTTAGGAGCTGCCCAGAGTGGCTGGGGAAACCCAGCCAGATGGGTGGGGTATAAGTAGTAGTAGTAGTAGTAGTAATAATAATAATAATAATAATAATAATTTAATAAAAGGGGGAAAGATTTATATCTTTAGTAAAAGGGCAAAAGATTTATATTACATATAATAATAATATTTTAATTTTCCACATTCTATTATTATTATTATTATTAAATGTGGAAAATTTATAATTCATCTTAAAAACCATCGTAAGCAGTTAGAATCGTTAGTAGGGGTGGAACGACGCTCGTAGTGTAATGGTGAATTTTGGATACAATGGATTTAGATTATTATAAAAGATGCAGGAGGAAATGGTTAACATTTTTAGATCCATTTTTTTTAATTTAAAAAAATAATTGATTTTTATCTACCCTGCCTAGAAGGTAATAAATAATAATAATAAGACATTTTTATTTATACCCTGCCCTTCCCGGGCTCAGGACGGCTAACAACAAATTTAAAACACTTAATTGACGCAACCAAAAACAGCATAAAATAAAAATTCAGAATTAAAAATAAATTCAAATAAATTTCGAAAAATAAATTCCGAATAAATTGAGAAGTAAAAATCAATTTGGGGGGGAATCCATCCAATAAACATTAGATGATCGCCAGGGCTAGCTGGCTAAATTAGTCCTACTTGGGCCAGTGAGGAGACCAGGGGAGAATTAGCTGTGGGATCCCAGAGCGGGTAATCTTCATAAAAAGGGGAGAGGGAGGGAATGAAGGGGAATAAAAGATCAGGCCAAGTTCAGATTGAAAGCCAGGCGGAATAGCTCTGTCTTACAGGCCCTGCGGAAGGAAGTTAATTTGTCCCCCTGGCATTATGGCATTAAATGTGAGTCACTTGCCCAGGATGAGAAGGGGGTGGAGACAAGGAAGGAACTGGTCATAGTATTTTTGTTGGGGGGGGTGAGTTGTGAAGTTCAAATTCCCTGTCCATATCATCCATGTTTAGTTCCTGCTTTATTTTTTTATTTTACACCGTTTTTGCAAGCCATGGTTTCCCTGCTGTTTCCCAGGAAACGAGAGCTGGGATGTCGATGCTGAAATGGAGACTCTATCTGCATTTTGGGGGGGGGGGGACGATACAGTCTAGGGAGCTTTGATTTGGCCTTTGTGGGTGCTTGTCAACGTAGTCAATGCCAAATTGCAGGGGGGGGGAATTAGGAACAACCCCCCTCCCCACAAAAAACAAGGGTTCAGTGCAGTTGCATTCGTGGCTGGCATGCTGGAGAAGGAATAATAAAATCATAGGGTGAGAAGCAAGCTTTGAATCCCTTCCCCTCTCTCCCTGGGGCTATTTATAGGGACCTCATTTAAGGAAATTAAAAGACGCCTGTTCCTTGGGAGAAAGGCGATGGCAAACCTAGACAGCATCTTAAAAAGCAGAGACATCACCTTGCTAACAAAGGTCCGTCTAGTTAAAGCTATGGTTTTCCCATTAGTGATGTATGGAAGTGAGAGCTGGACCATAAAGAAGGCTGATCGCCAAAGAATGGATGCTTTTGAATTTTGGTGCTGGAGGAGACTCTTGAGAGTCCCATGGACTGCAAGAAGATCAAACCTCTCCATTCGGAAGGAAATCAGCCCTGAATGCTCACTGGGAGGACAGATCCTGAAGCTGAGGCTCCAAGACTTTGGCCACCTCATGAGAAGAGAAGACTCCCTGGAAAAGACCCTGATGTTGGGAAAGATGGAGGGCAGAAGGAGAAGGGGACGACAGAGGACGAGATGGTGGGACAGTGTTCTCAAAGCTACCAGCATGAGTTTGACCAAAGTGCGGGAGGCAGTGGAAGACAGGAGGGCCTGGCGTGCTCTGGTCCAGGCGGTCACGAAGAGTCGGACACGACTAAACGACTAAACAACATTTAGGGAGAGGAAATGACAACCCCCCATGCCCTATATTTTAGACCCTGAGCCTCACCTCCAAAATAGGAGCCGTCTGAGAGTTTCATCTCCTTGTTGCCCTTGGTGAGGACACTGACCACACCGTGCTGGATAAAATACATCTTCTTGCCAATGGTGCCCTCCCGGATGATGTAGTCGCCTGGCTGGAAGACCTCAAACTTGAGCTTCGTCAACATGGCGGTGACGAAGTTGGGGTCAGCGTTGGCGAAGAGAGGCATGGAGGCCACCAGTTTGCGGCAGTTGAAGTTGACAATCTCCTGGGGAGAAGGGCAGGAAAAGGAACAGTGGGCGGTGAGCAGGGACCGAGCAACGGGAGCTCACCCAGTCGCAGGGATTCAAACCACCAACCTTCTGTTCAGCAAGCCCTATGCTCTGTGGTTTAACCCACAGCACCACCCGCGTCCCTTTTCATAGGTTGCCTACATTCTGCTATTTATAAGCTAAACAAGCTATAGCTTTGGGCCCCACTCTCTTGGGGGCCCCCAAAAAAATTTAAGGAAAAAACAACAACAAGACGTACATTTCCAAAATGTAAGATAAAAAACAAATAAAATAAATCCTACATCCAGCAACATTGCTTTGTGTAGGCTCCTGTGATGTAAGTCATGGGGCCCGCCTGCTAGCCTGCTCCCTAAAATATCCCTGGTTTGCTCCTTTCTATATATAGGGTGCCTACATTCTGCTATTTATAATTATTAGTAAAGGTAAAGGGACCCCTGACCGTTAGGTCCAGTTGCGGACGACTCTGGGGTTGCGGTGCTCATCTCGCTTTATTGGCCGAGAGAGCCGGCGTACAGCTTCTGGGTCATGTGCCCAGCAGGACTAGGCCGCTTCTGGCGAACCAGAGCAGCGCACAGAAACGCTGTTTCCCTTCCCGCCGGAGTGGTACCTATTTATCTACTTGCACTTTGACGTGCTTTCGAACTGCTAGGTGGGCAGGAGCAGGGACCGAGCAATGGGAGCTCACCCCGTCATTGCGGGGATTCGAACCGCCAACCTTCTGATCAGCTAGTCCTAGGCTCTGTGGTTTAACCCACAGCGCCACCCCAGTTTAAAAAGCCAGCCTTTAAACCGTAACCATAACCCATTTCACAAGCTGGCCTCTTTTTCCCCGGGGTCCAAAGACAACTCTTACCTCTCTCAGAGGCTCGTTCAGTTCCTCAAGAATGCTGTCCTCATCGAACATCTTGCCTTGGTAGCGGTGCTCATAGTAATCGTGGATTTTCTGTCGGAAGTCGGCAGGAAGCTTGTGGAAAGACATATACTGCTCGACTTGCTTGTACTGTGGGGAGAAGAGAGAGAAACTGCAGTGAGCGCGGAGGCATTTTGAACCCTTCATTTATTGATATCTGTAGACTGATTTCACAAAGTTAAGCTAAGCTAAGCAGATATATCGTATAGTTAAAGCTATGGTTTCCCCAATAGTGATGTACGGAAGTGAGAGCTGGACCATAAGGAAGGCTGATCGCCAAATAATGGATGCTTTTGAATTCTGGTGCTGGAGGAGACTCTTGAGAGTCCCATGGACTGCAAGAAGATCAAACCTCTCCATTCGGAAGGAAATCAGCCCTGAGTGCTCACTGGAAGGACAGATCCTGAAGCTGAGGCTCCAAGACTTTGGCCACCTCATGAGAAGAGAAGACTCCCTGGAAAAGACCCTGATGTTGGGAAAGATGGAGGGCACAAGGAGAAGGGGACAATGGAGGACGAGATGGTGGGACAGTGTCATCGAAGCTACCAGCATCATTGGACGCCAGGAAAGCCCATATAGATGGAAAGAAAACAGGCAAAACAGTCCTTTCTTTGAGACGGCAACCTCCTTAATAAGCCGCCTTCTCTTGTGAAAGATAGAAAGCTAGAGATCTTCACCACGGCCTGAAAAACCACTTGACCTAAAAAGCCTAAGAAGGTGAGATTTGCCCTACAGATTTGCCTAGCACGAATGCCAAGGCGTTGGCAAGAGTGAATTCTCTTTGCTTTCTGCATCTTGCACCAATCGCCAACCCCACGAGGCCATGGCTGTCAGAAGACAGTTGGCAGTCGCATCCGGAGATCACTCAGTCGAAGCGGGGGGGGGGGTTGGTGGTGGGGGTGCCTCTGAGGACCCAACAAGGTTGTCAGAAAAAGAGCCTTTTGCTTCAGGAGACAGGAAGAGGGCTGGTCAAAACAGCCTCCAGCCGTCGGCTCTAAAACCAAGCTGTCGTCTATCCTTTAAAGATTTTCACAGGGAAAGGAAAGGAAAGATTCCCCAATTGAAAATAATTATTCTTTAACAGAAAGCAGAGAAGACGGATGTTCGCATGGGTCGGAGGTTTTTAATACTGCAATCCTGTGTTCTTTCACGTAAACACCATGTGGAAATATTTTTTCATTTATTGCTGCATTTATTTTTCCATTTCTCTCTCTTTCTTCCCTTTATTTCTATTGTTCCTTTCTTTCCTTCTTCCCTCCCCCCCACACAGCTGCAATTTTACTGTTATTATGGGAAAATCTCAACAAAAAAATCTGATCAAAAGAAAAGAAGATTGAGATCTTAAAAGACTCTTGGTTCTGAAGGAAAAATTACCGTATTTTTTGCTCTATAAGACTCACTTTTTCCCTCCTAAAAAGTAAGGGGAAATGTGTGCGCGTCTTACGGAGCGAATGCAGGCTGCACAGCTATCCCAGAAGCCAGAACAGCAAGAGGGATTGCTGCTTTCACTGCACAGCGATCCCTCTTGCTGTTCTGGCTTCTGAGATTCAGAATATTTTTTTTTCTTGTTTTCCTCCTCCAAAAACTAGGTGCGTCTTGTGGTCTGGTGCGTCTTATAGAGCGAAAAATACGGTAAATAGGAGACCTTATTGCTCCCTATATATTGACATACATATCGATAGATTAAATAAAATCATATCTTCTGTGTCTCAGGGCAGTGGGAAAAAGGAGAGGTTGTAATGGAAATGACCGCAGGGCTCTGTTTCTGCTTTCCTTGTTCCCAGCTAGATGGAGCTTCCACATTCAGGAGCAATCTACCGCCGTAGGAATAAATGCGAAAGAGCAGGAACGTATGAGGTTTGTCACACTCGTGCTCTCCCTGGGACAAGGAAACGCTGGGACAAGACGCTGAAGGAGCGTCTCCACCTCCATCGTTCTGCCTGGACACTGAGGTCCAGCGCAGAGGGCCTTCTGGCAGTTCCCTCCCTGCGAGAAGCCAAGTTACAGGGAACCAGGCAGAGGGCCTTCTCGGTGGTGGCACCCGCCCTCTGGAACGCCCTCCCACCAGATGTCAAAGAGAAAAAGAACTACCAAACTTTTAGAAGACATCTGAAGGCAGCCCTGTTTAGGGAAGCTTTTAGTGTTTAATAGGTTATTGTATTTTAGTGTTTTGTTGGAATCCGCCCAGAGTGGCTGGGGAAACCCAGCCAGATGGGCAGGGTATAAATAATAAATTATTATTATTATTATTATTAAATGGGATCCGAGCCGCTGGTTGGCCTGTCTCAGCCGCGGAAACGCCACCCAACGGACCAGGCGTCTTTGCGCAACCTCGCCTTCCCTGCCCAATATATACCTTCTCTTGATACTGGCGCCGGGAGGAATCGAGAGACTGGATGAGGGCTGTGGCGTGGCCAATGAACATGGCATAGCACGTTGCTCCCACGATCATGCTCAGCATGGTCAGCCAGATGTCGGTCATGCTCTCCGGGGCTTGGCGGCCGTAACCAATGCACAACATGTGGCTCATTGACTTGAAGAGAGCGAAAGAGTAGAGTTCGCTCCAGGAGTCGTTCTGGAACAGAGAGAGAGGCAGGTCACAGGAGGAAGCTACACTTGATCTTAGCCAAAAGGCCGAGAATGTACACTTATTTTAATGAATTGACTTTTGCACAACTTCAGAAAGCTTTTACAGAGTTACGACTAAATACAATAAGCTCTGCTTATAGAGATGGGAGACACAGAGGCATACCAAAAAACGAACGTGTCTGCATTAGGGGATGTGCTGAAGTAAAGGACCTTATGCATTATATCTTGCACTGTCCCTTATATAATGATGCAAGAAAAAGATTTTTAGTACCTATAATGACAAGGTCCCCTGGCCAGAACCCCTCGGACATGATTTTATATCTCCTCGCAGACACAGATAAGTATGTGACCTGGCGTGTAGCACTTTATGCAACTGCTGCTAGGAAAAGTAGAGCAAATTATATAGCCAAGGTAGCCATTAACTGTAAAGGAGATGAATTTATTTGATCCTATCTATCTACCTCAGGCTATGCTTTATCTTTGTCACCAAACTCTTTATAAATTGCACACTGTATTAATTGACATTGCTTTTAACATTAGTGACCATGTGATGATTTTAGCTTACGAATTTTATTGTTTAATGTCTTGATTTGTACATTGGGGTACCTTTATAGCTCTGTTTAGAGTACGTAATGTTTTGATAATATAAATGTTTTAAGTCTTTTTTATTAATTCAGTATATTTTCTTTTAATTGCCAAATAATTCTGTGTACATTGCGGCAGCCTTTGACTATGAGCAATAAAACTGACTGAGACTGAGACACAGGAGGAAGCAGGCAGCCAGTGCTCCTGTCTGACAGGTCTGTGTTTTCGCTATTACAGTCATACCTCGGGTTACAGCCGCTTCAGGTTGCGGTTTTTCCGGTTGCGCACTGCCGAAACCTGGAAGTACCGGAACGGGTTACTTCCGGGTTTCAACAGTCGCACATGTGCAGAAGCGCTAAATCGAGCTTTGCACAGAAGCGTCGAATCGCAACCCGCGCGTGCACGGAGGCGGGTCGCGAATGTGCATCCCACACGGATCACGTTCGCAACCTGAGCGTCCACTGTACTAACTCAACCAGTGCCAAATTTATGTACAGTCATATCTCGGGTTGAATGTGCTTCGGGATGAGCGTGTTTGAGTTGCGCTCCGTGGCAACCCGGAAGCGACGGAGCAGGACCACATAACACCGGTCCTGAGAGATCTGCATTGGCTCCCAGTACGTTTCCGAGCACAATTCAAAGTGTTGGTGCTGACCTTGAAAGCCCTAAATGGCCCAGTATACCTGAAGGAGCGTCTCCACCCCCATTGTTCTGCCCGGACACTGAGGTCCAGCACCGAGGGCCTTCTGGTGGTTCCCTCCCTGCGAGAAGTGAGGTTACAGGGAACCAGGCAGAGGGCCTTCTCGGTAGTGGCGCCCGCCCTGTGGAACGCCCTCCCTTCAGATGTCAAGGAAATAAGCAGCTATCTTCTCTTTAAAAGACATCTGAAGGCAGCCCTGTTTAGGGAAGTTTTTAATATTTAACGCTGTATTGTTTTTAACACTTGATTGGAAGCCGCCCAGAGTGGCTGGGGAAACTCAGGGGTATAAATAATAAATTATTATTATTATTATTATTATTATTATTGAGGCCGGCTCCCGGTAGCAAGAGCCAAGAGGGGGGAGATGTCGAGGCAACCGGACTCACCACCATCCCATTGATGGAGACCCAGCAGTCGCTGGGGAAATCTTGGAGCATGGGAACCAGGAACTGAAGACAGCCATCCCAGTGACACAGGAGAAGCATCATTCCAATGAGGTTGATGATCCTCATGACGGCGCTGGCCAGGTCGTAGGTCATGTGGAAGATCTGAAAGGGAAACGCATATATTATTTCAGGACTGTAATGGACCGGAGAACTGGGCCCAGACTCAGAAAATGAATTTCAGCAGGGACAAATGTAAGGTTCTGCACTTAGGCAGGAAGAACCAGGATGGGGGACACCTGGCTTGCTAGCAGTACATGTGAAAAGGATCTAGGGGTCTTGGTGGACCACAAGCTGAACATGAGCCCGCCGTGTGATGCAGCAGCAAAAAAGGCTAATGCTATTGCAGGCTGCATCAAACAGGAATCTAGTGTCCAGATCAAGGGAAGTCATAAAGTAAATGTAAAGGGACCCCTGACCATTAGGTCCAGTCATGGCCGACTCTGGGGTTGCGGCGCTCATCTCGCTTTACTGGCCGAGGGAGCTGGCGTACAGCTTCCGGGTATGTGGCCAGCAGGACTAAGCCGCTTCTGGCGAACCAAAGCAGCACACGGAAACGCCATTTACCTTCCCGCCGGAGCGGTACCTATTTATCTACTTGCACTTTGAGGTGCTTTCGAACTGCTAGGTTGGCAGGAGCTGGTACAGAACAATGGGAGCTCACCCCGTTGTGGGGATTCGAACCGCTGACCTATTCCTAGGCTCTGTGGTTTAATCCACAGCACCACCCGTGTCCCAGGGAAGTCATAGTCCCACTCTATTCTGCCTGGAATACACTGACCACACCTGGAATGCTGTGTCCAATTCTGGGCACCACAATTTAAGAAGGATGTTGACAAGCTGGAAGGTGGGCAGAGGAGGGAGACCGAGATGATCTAGGGTCTGGAAACCAAGCCTGATGAGGAACGGTCGAAGGAGCTGGGTATGTTTATCTTGGAAAAGAGGAGATATGAGAGCCATCTTCAAATATCTGAAGGGCTGTCACACGGAAGAGGGAGCACGCTTATTTTCTCCTGCTCTGGAGGGGAGGACTCGAACCCGTGGCTTCAAGTGACAAGAAAGGAAGATTCCGACTAAACAGTTGGAAAAACTTTCTGACAGTAAGAGCTGTTCGGCAGTGGAACAGACTCCCACAAGAGATGGCGGACTCTCCTTCCTTGGGGGATTTTAAGCGGAGGTTGGGTGGGCATCTGTCAGGAATGCTTTAGCCAAGATTCCTGCATCACAGGGGGTTGGACTAGATGACCGCTGGATCCCTTCCAACTCTAAGATTCTACGATTCTATGATCTACACCCCACATTTCTGTGATAAGCCAGTTTGGAAGACAAGTATCTCAATCGAGACAGATTAAAGGCCAGTTCTAGAGAAATAACACTAAACTGGGCGATATATATATATATATCAGCAGATTGAACACAGGGAGGTGCAATTACTGTTAAAGTTCTGAAGTTTCGTTCTGTTTCTTTGAAAAGCTCACCAGACTAAAATGGTCTTAAGAGCCACTACAAAGACTCGTATAAAACAGAACAAGCTGGCCAGTCCATTGATTTTCCGTTTCGTTCTTTATTTTACATTAAATTTAAAACAGAAAACGGGTCTGCAGACTCCTCTCGATGCTTCACTCTCAAAAGCAAAAGGAACAATTATTAAAGTTATCATTATATTTATATCCTGCGGCGCCCCCCCCCCTCAGACTGGGGCTCGAAGCAGGCTTACGCAAATTAAAACAACACAAAAAAACACAGAAAGCTAAATACAGTGGTACCTCAGGTTAAGTGCTTAATTCGTTCCGGAGGTCCGTTCTTAACCTGAAACTGTTCTTAACCTGAAGCACCACTTTAGCTCATGGGGCCTCCCGCTGCTGCCGCCGGAGCACGATTTCTGTTCTCATCCTGAAGCAAAGTTCTCAACTCGAGGTAATATTTCTGGGTTAGCGGAGTCTGTAACCTGAAGCGTCTGTAACCCGAGGTACCACTGTACATATAAAAGGCTGAGAGGTGACTGGATTGCTGTCTTCAAATATTTGGAAGATGTACAGACCCGCTGAAACCCGGAAGTAACGGAACGGGTTACTTCCGGGTTTTGGCGTTCACGCATGCGCAGAAGCGCTAAACAGTTGGTGCTTAAAGACAGGTTGGAAATATCGCTAAGCAACTGAGCAGGAAGGTTGATCGAGAAAGGAGGCCCTCTGGTATTCCAACTCTTACTAAGTACAGTGGTACCTCGGGTTACATACACTTCAGGTTACATACGCTTCAGGTTACAGACTCTGCTAACCCAGAAATAGTACCTTGGGTTAAGAACTTTGCTTCAGGATGAGAACAGAAATCGTGCGGCGGCAGTGGGAGGCCCCATTAGCTAAAGTGGTGCTTCAGGTTAAGAACAGTTTCAGGTTAAGAACGGACCTCCGGAACGAGTTAAGTACGTAACCAGAGGTACCACTGTAGACGTGCCAGAAATTGAACCCAGGGTTTTGCAGACATCACAGGTGCGGCCTAATAAAACAGCTCCCGCTTCCCGGAAGTAGTTAAGGCAGGATTCGAACCGGCGACCGCAATCATTTGCAGCGGGGGGATGGGGCTCTCCCCCACCTGCCCTGTGGACCACCAACGCTGCCATTTTGATCGCAGGCTCGAGGCAGCGTGGAAATAGCTCTCTCTCTCTCTGTGCGGAGGAAACGCAATCACAAAAGGCTCGTCGTTTGACGAGGACGTATTAATTGTTCCAACATTCAATCTAGCGGGTAATTACAGCTGGGGTCAGGGGAGAGACAAGGGCCTCTCTGCGACGCATGGCCTGCGTCGAGGAGGGGGGAGCCGGCATGTGGAAGCTCGCAGCCGATGCACAGATGCTTCCCTCCCGGCAGAAATTACGACATGGAGATGGAGAGCAAGCTGCAGTTTCTCTGGGAGACACAGAAGGACAGGGCAAAAGCGTGGACACGAGGCAGCGTCCACCTTTGGGGTCCTGCCTTGTCCCGCTCCAGGCCAGTGGCTCCATAAACTCACCCCCCCCCCCGGCTCCATAAACTCATCTGCCATGCGCCCTACCCTACCAAATGCAACTATCTTGGATCTCAAATGTCTCGGCTCCCGAACAAATCCGCTCCCAAACGATTGAAACCCGGAAGTGACTGCTCCAGTTTGCAAACTACTGTATCTTCCGTCTATAAGACGCCCCCCCATATATAAGACGCCTCCTATTTTGGGGGGCTCCGATTTAAGAAAAGTGGGGGGGGGAGATACAGTGGTACCTTGGGTTAAGAACTTAATTTGTTCCGGAGGTCCGTTCTTAACCTGAAACTGTTCTTAACCTGAGGTACCACTTTAGCTAATGGGGCCTCCCGCTGCCGTAGCACGCTTTCTGTTCTCAGCCTGAAGCAAAGTTCTTAACCCGAGGTACTATTTTTGGGTTAGCGGAGTCTGTAACCTGAAGCGTCTGTAACCTGAGGTACCACTGTACTATCCATGTATAAGACGAGCCCAGATTTTGAACATCAAAAAGGTAAAGGTACCCCTGACCGTTAGGTCCAGTCGCGGACGACTCTGGGGTTGCGGCGCTCATCTTGCTTTACTGGCCGAGGGAGCCGGCGTACAGCTTCCGGGTCATGTGGCCAGCAGAACTAAGCCACTTCTGGCGAACCAGAGCAGCGCACGGAAACGCTGTTTACCTTCCCGCCAGAATGGTACCTATTTATCTACTTGCACTTTGATGTGCTTTTGAACTGCTAGGTGGGCAGGAGCAGGGACTGAAAAAGGGGAGCTCACCCCATTGCGGGGATTCGAACCGCCGACCTTCTGATCGGCAAGTCCTAGGCTCTGTGGTTTATTTTAGAGTAAAAAAGCATAGTCTTATACACTGAAAAGCATGGTATTTTTGGAAGCTGAACGTCTGTAGCGGCTTCTGCGCATGCGCAAAGCGCGATTGAGCACTTCTGTGCATGCGCAACCGCCGAAACCCGGAAGTAACCCATTCCAGTACTTCCGGCTTTCAGCAGTCTGTAACTCGAAAAAAACGCAACCTAAAGCGTCTGTAACGCGAGGCATGACTGTATCCTGGGCTGCTATACACACTCACGCTGCTAATAACATGTTCTCTACGAAGCTTAGTCGAGATTCCTGCCTTGCAGGGGCAGAGATGTCCCTCAAGATCCCTTCCAACCCTAGAATTATAAGTTTCCAAGTACATCACACTCTGTTCAGCATCATTTACTTTCAAGTAAGTAGCTGCATATGCCAAACTGAAGCCCTTTATTTTTCTCCTTGTTTATACCGGTCCCGGCTTCCTATTGCAGAATTTGCTCAGTTAGGATCTGAGCTGCCCGTGTCTTGTTCCTCGTTGTCGCTCATCGTCATTTAAGGTGGTAAAACTGAGGATCTCTCCCTGTTAATGAGCGACGAAGTGTCAAATCGAGGGAGAAAATCATAGACTTGCAGAAACCGCTTAGGAGTGTGGCTTTAGCACCATGGACAGAGGACTAAATTTGCCTCCAGGTCAGAAAGAGATTGAGGTTTTTTTTTCCTTCCCAACCCACAAATTAGAAAAGCCTTTCACGGCAAGTATATTCCCACACAGAAATGGAGGCAGTGAGAGATTTTACTTTCTTGGGCTCCATGATCACTGCAGATGGTGACGGCAGCCGCAAAATTAAAAGATGCCTGCTTCTTGGGAGAAAAGCAATGACAAACCTAGACAGCATCTTAAAAAGTAGAGACATCACCTTGCCAACAAAGGTCTGCATAGTTAAAGCTCTGGTTTTCGCAGTAGTGATGTATGGAAGTGAAAGCTGGACCATAAAGAAGGCTGGTCGCCGAAGAATTGATGCTTTTGAATTATGGTGCTGGATGAGACTCTTGAGGGTCCCATGGACTGCAAGAAGATCAAACCTATCCATTCTGAAGGAAATCAGCCCTGAGTGCTCACTGGAAGGACAGATCCTGAAGCTGAGGCTCCAGTACTTTGGCCACCTCTTGAGAAGAGAAGACTCCCTGGAAAAGACCCTGATGTTGGGAAAGATGGAGGGCACAAGGAGAAGGGGACGACGGAGGACGAGATGGTGGGACAGTGTTCTCGAAGCTACCAGCATGAGCTTGACCAAACTGCAGAAGGTGTGCTCTGGTCCAGGGGGTCACGAAGAGGCGGACACCACTAAATGACTAAACAACAACAACAACATATTCCCACACAACATCCACTGTACACAGAAGACAACGGAAGACGGTTGTGAAGAATATTCTTAAGTTATGAATGATCCGTGTCACCATTAAGAAAAAGAAGTAGGGACAGGTTAATAATTATGTGGACTTGACCCTGGATCAAGGGACTTTTCTTCTTTAAGTTCTCAAAGCTCTTAACTCAGCTCAAAGTTGTCAACTGAACTAGCCAGATATTTCACTGCGAATCAATCACAGCCCATCAATCAATCAATAAAAAAGGCTTTAGAGCTGTCTTGCCCCAAAATGGCAACAAGGCATTCTGTTTTGGCAGCTGCAACCTTGAATTAAGGAGCCATTTGGCTCCTAGCTTATATTATCTTAGTTTCTAACACTACTTGGATTGCTCCAAGTTCTAGTGTTGTGGTGGTGATGATGATGATTTTATTTACACACACACAAAAATACCCCGCCCATCTGTCCAGGTTTCCCCAGCCACTCTGGGCGGCTCCCAACAGAATATTAAAAACACAATAAAACATCAAACATTAAAAACTTCCCTAAACTGTGAGAGGAGAAAAAACTCTTCCCCTTTCCTTTCTGCATAGGTAAAGGTGAAGGGACCCCTGACCATTAGGTCCAGTTGTGGCCGACTCTAGGGTTGCGGCGCTCATCTCGCTTTACTGGCCGAGGGAGCCGGCGTACAGCTTCCGGGTCATGTGGCCAGCAGGACTAAGCCACTTCTGGCGAACCAGAGCAGCGCACGGAAACGCCGTTTACCTTCCTGCCAGAGCAGTACCTATTTATCTACTTGCACTTTGACATGCTTTCAAACTGCTAGGTTGGCAGGAGCAGGGACCAAGAAGTGGGAGCTCACTCCGTCATTGCGGGGATTCAAACCGCCAACCTTCTGATTCGCAAGTCCTAGGCTCTGTGGTTTAACCCACAGCACCACCCGTGTCCCTATCCTTTCTGCATGGCATGCATTTATTTTCCAAACCTCTATCACATCCCCCCTTGCTGATTTCCCCCCTAAACTAAAAAATCCCAGATGTTGTACCCCTTCCTCATCAGAGGGAGGCGTGTGGGTTATTTCCTGATAATTTGGATCGCCCATTTCTGAACCCTCTCCAGCTCTGCAATATCCTTCTGAGGACCGTCAATCTTCCACATCTGACATTTCTTCCTGAAAAGTGGGAAGACCAGGCTGTCTCCATTTATTCAACCATATGTCTTTAACCACTATCTATTAAAAATGTATGTTTCTTGTGTTTTTCATGTACATCTCCATTTTCCTCCAAGGATCTCAAGGTTCTCCCCCATCATCATAGCCTCCATCTAGCTTAGGTCGTGGAAGAGAGGACAGGCAGAGGTTGCCAGGGGCCAGTTTAATCCCATCTGGATTTGTAACTCTGGAGAAAACCTTGGCCCAAAAGCCAGCCCCTGGTTTGTTCTGGGCTCAATCCAAATTTTGGGTCCCAGAACAAAAAAAAACCAGACCAACAACCCCCTACGACAAACACGTTTCAAAGGCCATAGGATGTTAACCAGCCCAAGGCCTGGTTATAGAGAAACATTTATGCCTGGAGCCTAATGTTAATGATATGTTAATGAAGGCACCAGGCGAGCCTTCCTGGGGAAAGGATTCCACAAATGGGGAGCAACAGCACGGAAAGACAATTGTGGAGCTCTCCGTGGTCCTGAACGACCACTTGGTGCTCTCCATGGTACTGAAAGACCACCTGAAATTCCATTGCGCTGAATGAGCTCTTGGAGCTCTCCATGGTATTGAAACACAACCTCAAATTCCTTTATAACACTGAATGGCCACTTCAGAGCTCTCCATGGTACTGCATGACTTGCCTGAGCTCCTGTGATGGCCTGGGAATCTGATTCAAAGGCTGAACCGGAGGAATCCCAGCCTGCACAGGAGTCCCGGCCTCCAGGGCCGGCTGAGCCGGGCCAGGGCCTTGAATCTGAAGGGCCCGCACCTGTGCCAGATCCTCAGGAGCAGACACCAGATGAATCCACTCTGGCTCCGGGGGTGATTGAGGACCCATTGCCTGCAGGTGCTCCTCTCCCAGCCGTGTCAGGGGAAGGTGAGGCTGCCTCTGGGTCCAGTAACCCTCCAGCCTCACATGAGCTGCAGAGGCTCAGGGCAGAGAGGCGGAGGGAACTAAGTTCTCTCAGGAGGAGTGCTCGCCTTAAAGCCAGGAGAGGCGGGTCACCTGTGGGCCGGGACCGCCCCTGGCCTCAGAGGAGATAAAGGCTTCAGCCCAGGCCCAGGTTGTGGGAGCAACGTTGTTGGAAACCTGTTTCTGCCAGCACCCAGACCTGTTCTTCCGGAGTTCCCGTCCACACCCGGCTTCTTGCTTTGGACTCCGCTTTGCCCTTGGTGGATAGTCTCCAGACCCTCGACGCAGGACCGGACTCTGACCACGCCTCGCAGTAACACCCCCCCTCCTGGGACCAGCACAGCTCCCCACCTATTTGGAAGCTCTCTGTGCTTCAGGGAAACAACTACCCCAAGCTCAGAGCTCTCCATGGTGCTGAAAGACTACAGGACCACAACTCCTATCATCCTTGACCACTGCTGCTGAAGGGAGCTGTAGTCCAGCAAAATCTGGGGAAAACCAGTGGGTTAAGGAAGGCTGCAAATGAATAAACAATCTTACCTCCTCCCATTGGTGAATGTAACGGATAAGCCTCGAAAGGCGAAGCAGCCGCAAAAGGCTGAGGATCTTAGTGAAGCGGACGATGCGCAGAGCCCGGGCGGTCTTGTAGACCTCCGAGTCGATGCCCTTCTCCACGATGAGGAAAATATAATCCACAGGGATGGAGGAGACCAAGTCCACCACGAACCATGTCTTCAGGTACTTCTTCTTGATGCGTTCAGGGTCCAGGATGATCTCCGTGTTGTCCTCAATGACTATCCCCGTCCGGAAATTCATCACCAGGTCCATGAGGAAGAAGGTGTCCGACACTACGTTGAACACGATCCAGGGGGCCGTGGTCTCATCCTTGAAGAAGGTGATACCAACGGGGATGATGATGAGGTTCCCCACCATGAATAGAAGCATGGTAAAGTCCCAGTAGAACCTAGAGAGGGAAGGGGGAAAGACGTCTTAGGAACACAGGAACCAGCCAAACAGCGAGTGTCATAAACTGATGGGATGCAATGGCAGAAACCAGTTGGGGAATCCTCAGCGGAAGAAGGTTCAGAGACAGGGGATGGGTGTTTTCGCTTTGTAAGTAAAATGTGTGTACCGTGGTACCTCAGGTTACATACGCTTCAGGTTACATATGTTTCAGGTTACACACTCCGCTAACCCAGAAATAGTGCTTCAGGTTAAGAACTTTGCTTCAGGATGAGAACAGAAATCGGGCTCCGGCGGCGCAGCAGCAGCAGGAGGCCCCATTAGCTAAAGTGGTGCTTCAGGTTAAGAACAGTTTCAGGTTAAGAACGGACCTCCGGAACGAATTAAGTACTTAACCCGAGGTACCACTGTAAATTGCATAGAAATCGTTACAAAAAATGCTTTTTACGAATTACTTTTAAAAAACAAAACAAAATGATTTGGACTCCTTGGCAGGTTTTGAATAAACTTACACAAATTTATTATTGTTAAACGTAATAGATAGACAATTTAAGGGTTTTTACAATTTTATAATATGCAGAGAAAAATATGTGTTGAAAAACCGGAAAGAGAAGCTGAGGGAAGTCTGGGGGTGGGTGGGAGGGAGGGTTTTTATTGGGGGAGGGGGGAAATGGGGGGGAATGAAGATGATATGTTTTTGATATTTTATGATGTTGAAATTCTTAATAAAAACTATTTTTTAAAAAAGGGGGAAAGAAAAAAGAAAGAAATTGTTACAAAAAATGATTGCCAAGTACTTGCAGTTATATTATCTATTAATATTATTGTTGTTATTTATCATTGCTTGGGACACTGGTGGCGCTGTGGTCTAAACCCCTAAGCCTCTTGGGCTTGCTGATCAGAAGGTTGGCGGTTCAAATCCTTGCAACGGAGTGAGCTCCCGTTGCTCCGTCCCAGCTCCTGCCAACCTAACAGTTCGAAAGCACGCCAGCACAAGTAGATAAATAGGTACCGCTGCAGCAGGAAGGTAAATGGCGTTTCCGTGCGCTCTGGTTTCCGTCACGGTGTCCTGTTGCGCCAGAAGCGGTTTAGTCCTGCTGGCCACATGACCCAGAAAGCTGTCTGCGAACAAACGCCGGCTTCCTCGGCCTGAAAGCGAGATGAGCGCTGCAACCCCATAGTCGCCTTTTACTGGACGTAACCGTCCAGGGGTCCTTTACCTTTTACCTTACCTTATTTATCATCATCATTATTTAGCATGGTAAAATTTTCAGAAGGTAAAATTAAAACGCTTTGGTTTTCCTAGAGCAGTTTATGTGCTTCTTTGCCAAACATATACAGTGGTACCTCGGGTTACAAACACCTCGGATTACAAACACTTCAGGTTACAGACTCAGCTAACCCAGAAGTAGTACCTCGGCTTAAGAACTTTGCTTCAGGATGAGAACAGAAATCGCGCAGTGGCAGCGGGAGGCCCCATTAGCTAAAGTGGTACCCCAGGTTAAGAACGGTTTCAGGTTAAGAACGGACCTCTGGAACGAATTAAGTACTTAACCTGAGGTACCACTGTACTTGCCAAGCTAAACGTTGTCCAGTCCCACAAAAATATCAGATTTGAACCCTTCACACCCAAAAAAACCCTGTTTTTAAGACACCTCCCTGAAGAAAGTCGCAAGAACTAAGTTTCACTTCCTTAAAACGACACGCCCTAGTCTTATAGTTTGCAAATTGCAGCGAGTGAAGCACTACCAATTCAGTTCTGGAAAGAAGACAGATCCGAACTTTGAACACCCTGATTGTCATCGTAGGTGCCCTTGGAGCACCCACAAAATTCCCCATGAAGTGTCCGGGCACCCACAAGTTTCGGTGCCAGAGCTTGGCACTCTGCGTGGCACCCACCTCCCCGGGCATTCCTGATGACCGTGATGTAACCCTGGAGATATGTAAAAAGATCTGCAGCGTAAAAAATAAGGCACATCTTTCAGGAGAGGGGAGTTGGCTCCTGCCCCCCAAAGCTCATCCACGCACCCTTCCTCCCTGATCCCCACCAGGCATACAACTCGAACTGTCAATGACCTTCTTTGAGAGCCTGCAAGGTCGAACGAGGCAGCATGCAGCAATTTGGAGATCGCTGTGCATTGTCACTCAAGATTAAACGCTGCAACGCCTTTCCACAAACACACTCGAATACAGAGAGGGCTTCTCACAAGGGCTTCTATCGGGGGGCAGGGACAAGAAGGATGGAGAAGTCTGCATCCTAAAGGTAAACTAACCCAGCTGCCAAGAGTGTCAAAAGCAATAATAATAATAATAATAATAATAACAATAATAAATTTTATTTATACCCTGCCTTCCCCAACCAAGACCGGGCTCAGGGCGGCTAACACCAAATATAAAACGAATTGATTGATGATGATGATGTCAGGCCTAATGAGCGCAGCAATTCTTCTTCAGAAGGTCTTGCCCTCCACGAAGCATTTGCTGAGACTGAAGGTCCCTGCCTCGCCACAGCTGCCCAGGTTCCCTCTTCTCCCGGGTTTCCCCAAGCAATCTGAGACTGCGCCTCCGCCGTTTTCATGCCTCTCCTAGTCCTGGGAGACCAGGGTGGAGAAGAGCCTGTTGCAACAAAAGAGGGAGACACCCTGGCTTCTTTACCAGCCAGACTCCTCTCTGCCTCCTGGTCCCCCTCCTCTCCTGCCTCTGATTCTGGACTGCTCTCTGACACAGACTCTCCCTGCTCACTAAAGCCTGTTCCCTCTTCGGTTTCCGACGCATTCTCCTCCCAGTCTTCTCCCACTGACCACTCGTCATCGTCCAACCACCACTTCCTGAGCTCTGAGGCTTCTTCCCCTGGGGGTTCCCTTGGGGGTTCCCCAGCTGGTGCCCCCCCACTCCTCTGCCTCCAACCAGCCCATGACACAAGGGCTCTTGCACTAGGAGATGGGTGAGTTGTAGCACAGCGTAAGGACTCCCTGGTCCTGAATGGGGTCACTGTGCCCCTGAAGGACCAGGTGCGCAGCCTAGGAGTCATTCTGGACTCACAGCTGCCCATAGAGGCACAGGTCAATTCTGTGTCCAGGGCAGCTCCATCTGGTATGCAGGATGAGACCCTCCCTGCCCACAGACTGTCTGGCCAGAGTGGTGCATGCTCTGTTTATCTCCCGATTGGACTACTGCAAAGCGCTCTACGTGGGGCTACCTTTGAAGGTGACCTGGAAACTACAACTAATCCAGAACGCGGCAGCTAGACTGGGGACTGGGGGTGGCTGTTGAGACCACATAACAACGGTCCTGAAAGACCTACATTGGCTCCTAGTATGTTTCCGAGCACAATTCAAAGGGTTGGTGTTGACCTTTAAAGCCCTAAACGGCCTCGGTCCAGTATACCTGAAGGAGCGTCTCCACCCCCATCTTTCTGCCCGGACACTGAGGTCCAGCTCCGAGGGCCTTCTGGCAGTTCCCTCACTGCGAGAAGCCAAGTCACGGGGAACCAGGCAGAGGGCCTTCTCGGTAGTGGCGCCTTCTCTGTGGAACGCCCTCCCGTCAGATGTCAAAGAGAACAACAACTACCAGACTTTTAGAAGACATCTGAAGGCAGCCCTGTTTAGGGAAGCTTTTAATGTTTGATGTATTACAGTATTTTAATATTTTTTTGGAAGCTGCCCAGAGTGGCTGGGGAAGCCCATCCAGATGGGCAGGGTATAAATAATAAATTATTATTATTATTATTATTATTATTATTATTATTATCATCATCATTATTGAAAAACGCAACGCAGCAACTGCAGGGAAACTTGTTGCAGAACCAACCTCCCAGCCAAGTCTCTTGCATAACAACATTTCCCCCGAGTTATGCTGCTAAGTGAATTTAACTCTGTATTCCACGCTTAGGCCCCCGCTTCCAGGATAAAGCTCTTATCGCACCACTTTTAAACAGCAAGGGCTTCCGGGAACTGTAGTTTTCTAAGGGCGCCACGGATTGTTAGAACACACACACCCCGCTCCATCTCCCTCACCGAGCTATGTTTCCCAAAGTTCCCCACGAAGAGGGGTTATTTGAGAATCGTAGCTCTATACAGTGGTACCTCGGGTTACATACGATTCAGGTTACATACGCTTCATGTTACAGACTCCGGTAACCCAGAAATAGTGCTTCAGGTTAAGAACTTTGCTTCAGGATGAGAACAGAAATTGTGCTCTGGTGGCGTGGCGGCAGCAGGAGGCCCCATTAGCTAAAGTGGTGCTTCAGGTTAAGAACAGTTTCTGGTTAAGAACAGACCTCTGGAACGAATTAAGTACTTAACCTGAGGTACCACTGTATCTGAAGAGCAACTGCAATCAACAAATTACGCTAGTAGGACTACAAGAAATTTTGGGAGGAGAAATAGACGAAGTGTTGCAAAGTAGAAAAAGACAGAGATATTGGTTATGAGTTTGAAATGTAATAGGGAAAATAAGAAATGCATAGTAGATTGGAAAATTTTCAGACAGGACTGATGGAAGTCAAAAAAAATGGAATAAGATGTAAAAGTATGTTTAATTACTGTTGAAAATGATAGGTTAAAAAACTAATAAAAATTATATATATGGAAGAAAATCGTAGCTCTAAGGAGGGGAATTAGGGGTTCTCTGAACAGCGCCCACGTCAAACTACAGTTTCCAGGATTTGGGGGAGTAGGGAAAACCACGATCGCTTAAAATGGTGCAATACTGCTTTAAATGCACAGTGCAGACAGAGCGCGTCAGTTGGATGCAACCCAAGTTATTTTTGAAAGCCGGGGCAGAATCTTAAGAAACAGCAATTGGGGAGACAGTTCTCTCCAGGGTTTGTAGATCCATCAACTTGGAGACAGTAAACTGGGGGGGAAAGGAGAGAGGGAGCCTTTTTTGACTCCTGACCTTAATCCAATGACAGCGTTTGGGAGCCGGGGGTTGCCACGGCAACTGCCTGTGATGTCACAGCCGCGCAA